AGGGAAACCAACTCCAATTTGGATTTTGAAACTTTGACCGAAGGAAAGAAAAGGGAGAGGAAAAACAACCCTCTGCCAATGAACAGTAAATCCAAAAAAGAAAGAACAGAGTACCCCACGAAAATAAATAAATACTGAGCACAAACCAGGCTCTGATACCACTGTTATGTGTATTTATTTATTCTGATTAGGCTCAGGTCACCCGGAAAATTCGGTCCGTAGTTGTGCACTACAAGGGTACCAAAAGGAGCAACACCCCAACCCAACCTCGCCACACTCCACGGACCGAATTTTACGGGTGACCTGAGCCTAATCGGAATAAATAAATACACACAACAGTGGTATCAGGCTATGATGAGTCCTGCGGTTCCTTGTCAAACTATGTGCACTACTTTGGGCCAAAGGTAGAGATTGTTAATTTATTTGGGTTGGCCCAAACATATTAATAATATTTGACACCCAACCCAGCAGCCCATTTACTCAAGCCCAATCTATACTCCCTAACCTAATTAAGCTTGCCTTAATTACCACCCTAATCTCCACTATATATTGAGGGGCTGCCTTTGTGTTTCTTCACCGTACAAAAACTCCTTTTCTCTCTTTGTGAGACTACCGTGTGGGTTTCTTTCTTCCTTTGTGAGTTGATCTTAGTTCTTCTCCGTTTCTTTGTGAGTGGAGTGTGACGAGGTTGGGTTAGGGTGTTGCTCCTTTTGGTACCCTTGTAGTGCACAACTACGGACCGAATTTTACGGGTGACCTGAGCCTAATCGGAATAAATAAATACACATAACAGTTGTATAGGATAATAGCATATATTTTTGAACGTTGATAATTCTATAATTCTAATATCTTTTCGTACATAGTTTCTTAACCTATTGAAACACGGAGAATTATCGCCTCTATTAGAGATTGAACCCGAGACCTTGCATTTGGAAGAGTCGCCTTGGTGCCATTGGACCAGAAGATTTCCATGCAAAACAAGATTGAAGCCATTTAGAGTCCCCTGCAGTGGGCATCTCTTCTGGTTCTGGGTAGCCACCCAGTGATAATCTTTGCATTGAATCCTCTGTGAATGATATATGTTATTGAAGATAAGGATTTTAGGGTTTCCTTAGATAGCTTGGTAATTTTTATAATGTATATATACGGGCTAGACATCAATGCAAAAGCAACCAATTCATTCCTAAAATTCTACATGGTATTGGAGCGTCTTTCTTGGAATTTTCCATAAAACTAGTCCTTCCGTTCTCATCCAAGTCGCCCATCCAGTAGGCGGCACGATTCAGTCCCCTGCGAATCTGCACGTCTTAATGCTTACTTTAAAGAAGGTGCAAACTTGCCATTTGATCTTTGTTGGTTGCTTGATACGTACTAATGCTTGTCAAGTACTTTTTAATGAATTGAACATTATTGTCTAATCCAGGACCATTTGTTGAAAATGGAGATTTATGGAGTCTATGTCTTTTGCTGTCCAGAGGTTGAAGCTCATGCGTCAACAGTTGATCCAGTGGTCCTTCATCAGCGTTTAGGTCATCTCTCTCCTCATATATCAGTTTCTCTTAGTTCAAATAATAGCACTTCTACATTAAAGAAGGTGCAAACTTGTGAAATTTATTTTTTGTCCAAAAAGATTGCACTAATAAGGCACAGGCCATTTTTTATTTAATCCATTGTGATATTTGGGGTCCTTATTCAACATGTATGACTGCGGGTGCTCATTACTTCTTGACTATTGTTGATAATTTTTCTCGTATTGTTTGGGTCTATCTCATAAAAGTGAGAGTATATATTTTTAAAAAGATGGTACCTGAAAGTTCTTTCTAAAAAATTGGGGACAGTAATTTTTGAGAAGAAAATGATAAAAGAGTAACAAAGCAAGTGAATATGACGGAGGGATAGAGTGAAAGACCTCCGAAGTTAGTTTTTGGATATTTTAAAGTACTGAGGAGTATATTTTTAAAAATGATGGGATCTAAGAGTTCTTATCACAAAACTGAATGTATCTACTATCTAACATCAATTTTTTGCGTTAAATTGGATGAGAGAAAGTCGGGGTCTTAACCTTCTGAACCCCTTATATTAAAAGGGAAGATTATTTGGAGTGATACACGGTAATTTTATAAGAAAATTAAAACTAATTTAAGATAGAGTTAAATATGTTTTTAGTCTTTATAAAAAAGCAAATTTTATTTTGGTTCCTTGTAAATTTTTTCATTTAAGTCATCTTTAAACATCATTAAAACTTTTGATTCATTCAAATAGTGCATTAATTTCATACTCAACATTCTAATATTGCATGTCTAATTACTTCAACAGAGTCTTCATACTCTAAATTTTATCATTCAACGAATTACTTCTCTAATCATCAAATTTTGTTTTATTATATTATGAATAAATTTGGTTATTGGAGATGTGATATAAATGAGGACACAATTTAGGGTATTCAAATTGGGTCACAGGCAATTAGAAATGAAGACCAAGTTGTTGAATGTGAAATAAATGTGATATTTCAACTAATTAAAAATGTTAATTACGTTTATGAATTATTTTCAAAGTTAAATTTTTTATAAACAAAAAAATTACATTTAAAAAAAATTAGAGTAGCATAATTTACAGTAATTAAAAACACATTTAACTCTTTAAAGATATAATCAATTCAATTATTGACTAATTGGGCCGCCCAGCATGTGGAAGGCAGGCCAAAGTGGATAATGGGTAGACTGCATGTGATTAGCGGGCCCTGTCGGTTCAAGTCACATACTCCGTATATTCCAAGATGGGCCATGTACACATTAACTCTAGTATGGCTCACGCCTACAAATCTTGGAGCAGGTCGGATGCGTTTGGTAGCATCTATTTCTAAAAGATTACACCATCTTATTTTTTTTACCTTTCGAATAAATATATTTTTGATCACTATAAAGCGTCTGTTCTTTAGGACTGGAAAAAAAGATTTAGATATTGGAAGAAACTGGAAGAGACGGAGAGATACTTGAAGTAACTGGAAAAAACTGAATGACATTGAAAAAATTCAATGAAACTGAAAAAACTTGAAAAAATTAGAAAATCTAAAAAACTTGAAAAAATTAGAAAATCTAAAAAAACTTTAAAATTTTTTTGGGTATTTTTATATTATTCTTATTCTAATTCTTTTTGTTATAAATTATTAATATTTTTATTATTATTATTATTGTTGTTGTTGTTGTTGTTGTTGTTATTTATATTTATATATATGCGCAATATTTTACATAATAGAGACAATAAAAAGTAAATCATATAAATGAAAGTATAACTTTTTTAGTTGTATTTTAATTATTGATGATATTATTTGTAATCTGAATTTGTTTTTTTACACTTTTCCAATCATTTTTTCTTTTTCAAGATGTAGTTCTCTTTTGGTTTCATAATGTAGTACTCCCAACCCCATACCATTACTATATTTTAGATTAAAATATTTATGTTTTCATTATATAAATTTAGATTAAAAAACATTTTATGTAACTAGTTTATCCATAGTTTTTTAAAAATAGTTTAAAATATTGATATTTTTCTATTTTATCATGTAGATTAATATACAAAAAATGGTATTATTCATATAGAAAAGTTGAAGAAAAAAATAATAATCATTGTGAATCATAAAAATAGTAAGAAGAAAAATGAAATAATTTATAAACTATAGTTATGAACATAGTAGGTGTAATAATAATAACAATAATAATATATCATTTTGAGGGAGTAGGGAAAGTTTGAAGAAAATAAAAATAGTTGGAAGAAACTAGAAGAAACAAGAAGGAACTGGAAAAAACTGAAAGGAACTGGAAAAAACTGGAAGGAACTGTAAGAACTGTAAGAACCTAGAAGAACGTGGAAGAAACTGAAAAGAACTGGAAGAAGTTGAAAGTTAAGAGTTCAAGTCCTAAAGAGCGGGTTCTAAAAATAGGTAGTTTTTGTTTTTAGTTTTTGTAAAATACATTTTCGTACTAAACATTTTAGTCTTTCGTTTTTATTACCCCAACACAATTCACATGTCCTAAATTACATTCTTATTCATAACATCTCAAATTTCTAATTTTTTTAAGGAATATAGTATTGTAAAAGTAGAAATTGTAGATGTAATTTGATAAAGAAGACGTTATATGGCATGTGAATTTTCTGAGGTGACTAAAAAGGCAAGACTAGGATGTTGAATACGAAATAAATGTATCATCTCAATAAATTAGAAGTAGAAATTATGTTAAAATATCATTTCTAAAATAAAAAATTTTTGTATGGTTGACTTAAAACAAAATTTATAGATACCAAAAACAAAATAGAAAGTCACCTATTTTATAGGAACTAAAAAATATATTTAACTCATCATAGATATTGCATATGTCACCATTAAGTTGTGTTTGTGAAACTCAAAAAAATGAATGATACTCTCCCATCATAAACATGTTTTCAAGTTGATTTAATATACTTTTAATAAAATTAAAAAAGACAGAAATTTACAAATTATATTTAATGAAAGTGAATGGATAATATCCTTTATATATAAAAAGGAGACTCCATTTTCTAAGAAGTTGACATTTGGCATATTCAAAGCTGGACATGTGGCATATTAGAAGCTTGGCATGTGGCATATTAGGTGGCAATTTAACCAAATTTACTCTCTTCCATTATTTCACATTTTTTCTCTTTTTTCAAAAATGATATGGGGTAATTACTTATTTTGAACCCATGAATTCAAAATTAGAATTAAAATTATTTTCCGTGTAAATTATTACTTTTAATAAAATATCATTTTTAAGGACTCTCCGTACAGTTATTTTTAATACCTATCTCGGATTCGTTAAATCATAAAATTTACAAAATATTTTTAGAATAATAAATAAAATACACTCCTCACCCATAAATAAATTTTATATTTATTCATTATACATTTACATGATATTCCTTTGATTGTATTTATTTAAATATTGACACCTATTAAATAAAATATATCCTTTACCTATAAATAA